CGTTAGTGGCATATTTACAACTGTCAAAGAAATAAAAGTTTACCCGCCTATCGTAGCGATAAAGTAGTATTTAATTTTGCCACATTAAAAATTACACGCAGCGGTTTGCGGTGCGGGCGATAGACGCAACGCACGCACCGCATTGCCCGGATTCAATTAGGACATAGCGTTAGATACCCGGTGACCGGGTCTCTAGCCACAGCGTAATATTATTAGTAATAGTAAGTAAAAATACAATGTTAATGTTCATCTTTAAATCTTTAATAATAAAATTATAATAAGTAATGTTATACAAATTAAGAAAATTATTAAGCTAGATGCATATTATAAAGTATAATATAATATAATTTTTTGTTTAATGTATAAAGAGCTATTTTATCMTTACTTTGAATCAAATATTGTATAGTATTATTACTGCTTAGTAAAATAAAATAGAGCCTACAGGGAAAAGACCTTTAGGAAGACCCAGGTTGAGGTGGGAAGACTGTGTAAAGAAGGACATAAAATCGATAGGACCAGGAATCAGATGGAGAGAAGTTGCAGAGGACAGGGACAGATGGCAAGATTTGTTTATAGCGGCATGGTCTTAAAGGCCGAAGCCAATAGAGAAGAAGAAGAAGAAGTAAAATAAAATATTCAAATTAATTCTATTTGTCAGAACCTGAACAAGTTTTATCCAGAACGATTAATTCAAATATTGATTTTCCTGAGCTACCACTGGAACCAGAATTAGCAATATTACTGGAAAATGATTTTGAGGGTATTGAAGATTTGGTTTATACAGAACCTAACCTAACCTAACGGATAAGTCCAATAAAAAAAAGTGGTCTCGGGCTGTTCGAAAAGAAAGAACACTCAATTTACACAGAGGGCTACCTTATGTAAATTCAAGTGGTAATGAATTGACTGGAAGGCAAATGCAACTTTTAAAATCTTGTAGAAAAAAGTGCATTGAGATTCTTACTGATGACATAAGAATTTCTATATTTAATGAATACTGGAGTTTAGGGGATCATGGAAAAAGAGTTAATTTTATATCTTGCTTAATTAATTCTGCTGATAAAAAAACTTCTCGTGTTAGGTGTATTAATAGCAATAAAACCAGAGACTTAACATTAAATTATTTTTTTGAAATAAATTTATTTTTAATTTATATTCTATTTTGTTTTGTTTGATTTTACTAAACAGGTTATAAGTTTATTTTTATTTTATATTCAATTTTGTTTTATTGTATTGAAAAGTAATTAGCTGTTAAAAATTTATTTTATTTTGTCAAACAGCATATGTTGTTATATTATTAATTAAAAATATTATTTTTTGTTGTTTTACTTTATTGAACAGGTTAATAATAATTAATAAAGTTATCATTTTAAATGCATACCTTGTTGAAACTTAATGATACATATAGCGTAAGTCATAATAAATAAAAATCTAAATATCTTAAGTCACTTAAAAACAATGAARAATTGATTTTAAAGTTCTACCTAATAGTTAATACGAAAGTTAGTACATTGAATACTAAATTAAACTGATAATCAGCCCAGACATTATTGTCAATGATTTTGAATGATTTTCCAATGTTTTTTGTTATCTTCCTGAAAACTAGTTGTTTTTGACTTAAGACATTTATACCATTCACCAAAGATTTTATACTATACCTAATTTTTGAAAAAAGAAATAAATGAATGCACAAATTTCACTGTAGTCTTATATTGTTATTTTAAATATATTTTTATTAAAACTTGTGAATACTATAGGAATATTATTTTTCATACAATTATCCAAGATAATATATTTAGTTAGAATTTACTAATTTAACTATTTAAGAGACAAAAACGTTTAGGTATGAATTAAGGTCCCCCCACACAGTGGCAGTTATAAGGGTGCGGGGGCGAAAGGTGGACCGCCCCCCCCTTGGGATTTTTTTTATATACTTTATTTGTATATACTATACTATATATACAGGGTGATCCATTTAAGTGGGTACACTAATTATCTCGAAAAGTATTAACTTTTTTTGAATTTTTTTTTTTTTAAACTTCTAGGTTTATG